TTAAGTAAGTTAAGCAATGAATGCTTGCACTTACCATAAAGGACTTTTTATCTTCTCACATCTTAAAATTAATATTTTAATTAGAAGTACTGATAAGTTTTTATTTGGGCTTGTTAACGAATAAATGTGAAATTGTATTGTATGCAAACTATACTCCCAATAAATCTGACTATCAAAAAAATAGAAAGAAAGCATAAATATCTGAAATCTTAAGATTGGCCAACAATCATATGTAAATTGAAATTAGAGAATTCACGAGGCTTTTGTTCAGTAATGATTGGTGTTTTGGAACTAGGTTTAAGATTAGTGCTAATAAAGTTGTGCTTACAGCAACTGATCCCTAATGCGGGTAATTCTTCAGACTGCACTGAGGGGGAAACAGTTAGTCGGTGGATGGCAGATAGTCCGGTCTGATGATTGATTCCCACTGTGGTTTTGGAGCCTTGCTCACAACACGATGGTGGGGAAGATATTAAAATTCTGCCTGCCTAATGTTATTACCATGAGAAAATCCTTTGTTTAGCTCGATTCCTTTGGTGCACAGCCCCGCTGAACATTTATGATAGATTCTTAGGTAAACAGTTCAAAAGATTGGTATGTTCCATACCCATGTGAGTGCACCGAGCAGTAGGGAGGCAAATCAAAGAATCGTGTACATAGATGTGTATTATAAACCGTAGTGAGTTTGGGCAAATAGGCAGGCCGTGCTGTGAGAGCTTGTAACAAGGGATGTGACAGCTAACACAGCCCTGAAGCCCGGCAGGTGCTCCTCCCCAGATGAGGGAATCAGAAGGCTAAGTGGTGTTCAGCGAGGAGCCTTGAGGGCATTTCCATCAGAGAAAGACGTGCAAAGGCACCGGCTGTAACAGCAGAAGGAAGGCCGCTCAGAGGCCTGCCTGACCGTGGTCCCCAGTGACACTAAAATGCTAGGCAGGGCCACCTCCTTCTGAGAAGGGGCAGGGTTGCAGCTTTGCTTTTTGAGATCACCTTAGATCGCAGATTGAGCTTCAATCAGAGGACTGCTGAAGAGGTTAAGAAAGTTATTTAGGGGTGAAGATTTGGCCACCCCTAAGGGATGATTAGGCAACAATAAGAGGGAGATATCGAGGGTTGCTTCTTGGTGGGGAGGTTCCCACTGTAAGTGAAATAAATGCCGAATCCAAAATTGAAAGTATAATTCAGAATTTCTAGAGCCCAGCAGGCAAGTATTTTTTCCTCTCATCTCCTGTCTTGCTCCCCTGGCTCCTCTTTCTTTCCCTCCTCCTTTCTCCTCTTCTGTTCCTGTCTCCTAATTTTTCTAACTTTGTGGTTCAACTCAGGCAGAAAGCTTTTGGGTGCTCGTAAGGAAACGGGTTCAAAACTTCACAGATACTCAGAGACTGCATCAGTTCTCCTTCTTGTGAAGTGGGGGCTCGATATTAAGCCTTCCTAAAATAGATCATCTCTTTATGCTCTAAGCTGACAGCGTCTGGGCACTTATTGCACCCTTGCTGGTGAGGTAAAACACAACCAAGCCAGCTGGGTGATTTCTAGGTGCTGAGCTGAGTCTCTGCATGGATTGCAGTGTAGGTGTAAACATTTCTGGGCACAGACCAGTAGGTGCAAGAGGAGAAGCCCAAGAAAATTCTTAGGACGCCAATATTGTCACAGCATCTCCATGCAGAGTGAAGTTGTTTGACAAAGTGTCTCCCTGGTGATTTGGCTGCAGATGAAAATGTCTTCGGCAATAAAATTCAGAGCTTGACTCTCAGCCCCGTGCATTCATCAGTCCGCAAACGACATATCAAGGATCTTTTTTGCTGCATTAGTTAATACGTTGGCAGAAATATGTGAAACATTGTTATTCCCCTCAATTTCTGTGCATGGATTATTTTTCCTTACCTTTAACCACATGAATTTTGCCAGCTATAAATTTATTCCCAGTCAATAGGATTGCATTAGAACAGAGATGAAAAGTTCTTTATTGCAAAGGTTTTCTTAGTTACCAGCACCAGAAGACTTATAATGGTGAGAGCTACTGTTTTACCCATCACTTGAAAATGATTTCAGGGAAATTTAAGGGCTGCTCAGACAATTAGTGATGAAGCATATTTTAATTATAGTAACAGGGTAAGCTGCTTACAGCTTTATGGATTAATACATTATTGTTTAATAGGTCAGAGTTACGTGTGATTTTAATCACACTTCTTATTGTAGCCATAGTTTTATTAACAATGGTGTTTTATAACAATAATTTATGCATAATGAGTTTAGAAGTTCCATTTGCATTGACATCAAAGGGATAATTTACCCCACACATTACCACTCCTCAATGGGAACAGAGTCCTTCAGTGGCTCAGCCGAAGCTCTGTCCGAGCTCATTTTGCATTAAAGGATACTTATAATAATGAGATCATTTTACACTGCATTATATTATTTCTGGTGATGCCAAGTCCAGGTTTCGGAAAGTCGTTTAGAAGCCGGGAAGGAAGATGAATCACATTCATTTCACACGTATTTAATAAGCATGAATTATCCGGTGAAGTCTACATCCATTCTTGAAGTTGTGAAAACCATAAGGTGTTTGAGATGGTGCCGCCTTGTAGAATTCTCTTCTGTTGCTGTTCTCCACTCCGCATGCTGCAGGCTTCTGTGCACATCATTAGCTGTTGTGGAGACTGGATTGAGCTGTGCTTATTTTGATGGCATATGTGTGTCATCCTTCAGCTTAGGGCCTGCGTAGCCACTGTGCCCCCTCGCTTGTGGGCCTCTGTTACCATTCCAGGGCCAGCACGGTCTCTCCGCCTCCCTGGCCAACCTCCCAGAGCCCTGCTGTGAACACCTCAGGCCCCGGTCCTTGTACCACAGCAAGGAAACTACCCCTTGGAGATTGACTCCTTTGTATTAAGCTCTGTGCGAGTTTACACTTGTCATCTTCATAAAGCTTTTGTTTTAAATCATAAACCCAATGGCATTTCAGTTCTACGATTTTTTTTGAGACCATGATGTGATGGTGTTGGAGAACACTTAGGCAGGGCGATCTACATAAGATGCAAAGAAGTTAATAGGCACTATGCCAAACAAATAACTGAGATGTTATTTATGTTTCAGGGACCTTGAGAAACCGGCGAGGTGGGGGTCTGTTTTCTGATAAAGCTATTGTACGTCAAGGTGTCTCCATGGAGGTGATCTAGCTTATAGCATTTCCCAAACTTAAGTGACTATAGAAACTTTTGTGGGAGAGCATCTCACCCTTGGTTTCTTCCTCTATACAATATATAAATCAAAATATATTAAAATTACACAGTTACACTTTCAGTCTACCACACAAATTTTGTCAAGGTAGAAGAACTAATATATGCTCCTATGATTTGCAAGCAGAAGGGACCATAAAAAAGTTAGGATTGTTTTTCTCCTTTGATCTTTTTTGACATAGAGAATAAAAGAGGTGATGACTAAATTCTTCACTTGTTCAGAGTCCAGGGATTTGGAAACTGTTCCTTTCTTCCTATCCCTCTCCCCTATGCTGGGAAAACCACTTCTGTTTTTGAGGATCCCTTATTACTAACTACAAAAAATTGTTAATAGCCTGCAGTTAAACTTTCATTTTAAGTTGCTTTACAGGTTACGTGCCAACTTGTAACTGCCTGGTATCAGATATTATAATGCCAAGAGTGGCTTTTCTCTGTATTTATGTAGCCCCATAACTATTTGTATGTCTCCGCTGTTTTCCACACTCAACTTTCTTAGATTGGGCTACGGTTTTTTTTTAAAGAGGGGACTGAAAGTTGGGGATCCACGTTTACACACGGGTACATATCATCCCCCACACTCAGCAGCGATGGCAAACCTTTATAGACCAAGTGCCAAACTGCAACCCCCAAACCATTTACTTATCACAAAGTGCCAATGCTGCAGTTTAAACAGTACTGAGATTTTAGTTTAGAAGAAACAACTCATGCATTAATATCTTTTGTCTTAAAAGAGAAACACAATAACACAAATGCCGTAGGTTTGCCGGTACTGCCCTCCTGTCTTGCTCCAGCCGCCTGATTTTTCCTCTTTATCTAGTCTGCGCTCCCGTTAGCATATCTGTAAATATTTACTGAAAGAACGAACGACTTTGGGCGCCATGCAAAGCTGTTTCAGTTTCGTGTGGAGACGAGATTGGATTTCTCCATGGTTTGGTTCTGTGCTGTCAGTTCTGCTTAGCTCGACTTGGAGAACTTAGGACTCATTGGTCTCTGTGAGCTAATGTATTGATAATGGAATTTAACTATTGCAACACTGTGGTTGTGGGAAATAAAAAAAAACACATCATGGATGTAGCTCAGTAGTGCAGCGCTTGCCTGCCCTGTAGAAGGCTCTGGGTTAGATCCCACCTGTTACTTTCTTCAGAAACAACAGGGAGGTACAAAGCAATGCGTGTCCTTGTGAAGTTTTCATTCTAGTGGGTGAGACAAAAGTGAATAATGGGTGGATGGTTATGGTTAGATGGCTTTTGGGAAGTACAAGAGAAGGGGATTGTTTATTTGTCGTGGTCAAGCAAGGTCTGGGATTTCTGATGAATGTCCAGAATTCTGGAGGACTCTTAGGGGGTTCAACAACTGTGTGCACCCAGGCAGAAGCGGGCTCCACAGAGTGAGCTGAGAAACAGTTTGTCAAAGTTATTTTTCTCTTGATGCTGAGACCAGATATTCGACACCCAAAGTTAAAGGGGAGAAAGTTTATTCAGCTCACAGTTCATAGAGCTCTCAGTCCCTATTTGGCTTGGTCCAAGGCAGGGTGGCCTGGCAGAGCAGAGTGGAAGAGGAAAAACAGTTTATGTCAGGCAGGAAGTAGCAAAGCAACAAGTGAAAACCACAGCTCTCCCTGTCCCTTTTTTCTTACCCAAGCTACTTAGGGTGGGCAGCACTCACACCTGTAACCCTAGTGCCCTTGGTCCCAGCATCACATACTCTAGTCCAGCCACCTCTGAAAAAGTCCCTTCTGTGACCTCATAAGGCTTTGGGGGGACATCTAGACAAGCCATAGCAGTGTTAAGGGGGGTCAAACAGGTGACACGGGACGAGTGGCGGAATGCTCTCGCACTGTTGTAGTGCATCTGGCCCTTTGTTCACGATGAATCAGGAAGCCATTGGCATATTTTGAGCTAGAGAGTGACAAGACCCTGCTAATCTCTTTAAATGTCACTGCTTCAACAAAGCCAAAGAGGGAGCAGAGAAAACAATTTTGAGGCAGTTGCAATAATGTAGGCAAGAGATGAAGTGGCAGCAGTGGGAAAAACGAGACTATAAAATGCCAGGTATTTATTTGAAGGGGAGGCTGACGGAATTTGCCCATGAAGTGGGTGTGGGGTGGCAGAGCGAGAAGAGTCAGCGATAACTTGGCAGTTTAGCTGAGCAACTTGAATACCGAAGTTGACATTGCTAAAATGGGGTTCCTGGGAGTGGAATGGATTTGAAGGAGGGGGCAGTTTGGGAACAGTTCAGGGTGAGCTCCATCCAGAAACCCAAGCGGAGTTTTCTGTAGGCAGGTGGCTGCAGGAGTTTGCAGGCAGGATTGAGAGTTTGGCTGGAGACGCAGCTGTGTTGGTTCCTAGGTGAAGTCTGGAGGAGATCATCTAAGGAGTGAGTCTAAAGAGAAGACATCCAGACACTCAGCCCCGAGGCACCAGCAAGAGGGGGAGACTTGTGCAAGAAACTGAGAAGGAGCAGCCAGTTTTTTGTGAAGAAAACCAACAGAAAGTGGTAACCTAGAAAGCACGCTAAGTAAGCACCTCGAGGAGCTGGACATTATCGGCTTTCCAATTGCTACTGATGGTCAGAGTGAGTTAAGATTGAGAAATGGCCTTTGGAGTTAATGGTGTAGAGATCTTATTGAGGGTGCGGTCCAGAGCTGGCTTTGGTGAGGTAATGGAGATAGAGGTTTAGCCGGAACGGGCCCAACACAGAGAAGTCCTTGAATTTGCTCAGTTGATAACAAAGCAATAGCAATTGCTGAAGAAGACTGTTAGGTTAAGGAATGATGTTTTTAAGATGGCAGGATATTATCATAGTAGACTACTTTATGTGACTGGGCGGCTAGAAGGGGGATGGAAAATGGATTATATAGGAGAGGGAGGGGACAGTTGCTGGAGCAGTCTCAACCCACGGGTAAAAGGGATTGGGTTGGGGGAGGGGGGTTCATTTGATTTGGTTTGGTTTTGAGGCAGGGTCTTGCTGTGTTACTCAGCGTGCCCTTGAACTCTTGCACTCAGGCAAAACTGCCTTGGCCTCCTGAGTAGCCGGGACTAGAAGCACATGTGACCAAGACTGTGTAGGATTAGAATCTTGAATGCAAGTGGGAGGACCGGCCTTGGCCCAAGCCGCTCATACAGAGTAAAAGGAGAGAAGACAAGGTAGGGGGCCCACGCAGGCAAGTTGGGAAACTGGTGTTTGTACCAGTTGGAAGTTCACTCCAGTGTCTCGAGTTTTTGAGTAAAACAGCATGCAGGCTTATTAGTCAACAAGGTTGATGAAAGAGAAAATATTACAGTAGTATGAGTTTGAGGTGAAAGAAAGGGGTATAAAATAGTTGACTAGCAGAGGGAGGAAGAATAGAACGAAGCAGTGAGGTAGATGGCTAGGAATGCAAGGGCTCTTGAGAATAACCAAGATAATTTCTTTCTTCCTGTTGCTGGAGGAGGACAGCTTGACCAGGATATCCACAAAAGCAACCGCTGTTCCGTTGTTAAATTTGCCCCAATGTGTTGATCCATTCGCCTCTTGCTTATCAGGCAGGAACGTTGTTTCAAGTTGGAAGTGATCATGAATACAAGTCCTGTGAACATTCTTTTTATGGGTAGACCTTGTCATTTCCCTGGGTGAATTCCTAGAAGTAGAATTAAAAGGCCATAAAATAGGTATATATTTAGCTTGTTAAGAAATCACCAGCTTTCTGAAATAGTTGTTCTGCCCAGGTAACCAGGCAAATGCTTCATTCCTGTAGGTGGCGAAGAAGAAGGTAGAAAATGCAGACTTATCTTAGCAAATCACAGAACTTTGCAAATTATAGGTCACAGAACTTCTAAGGACTCAACTTCCCCCAAAGGACTATATAAAGGAAATAAATTGGGTCATCTTAAGTTCCCTTGCAAGCCCCACTTTCTTTGGTTTTTGGTGGAATTCTGCCACATGGCGATAAACAGCCACAGCTGTGCAGGTTTTTATTGCGTGAGCGTTGAACGGCATTTACTGTACCGGACACAGTAAGGACACAAGGTGCGGAGGCAAAAGGGTTAGGCTTGTACAAAGTACATAGTCATGTGTGAAAAATCTTTAAAAGAAAACAGTGTAAGGTGATACAGAACTCCACTCAAAAATTTACATAAAAAGTTGTATACCTATGAATAGCTCCCATCTGTTTTAATTATAACAAATACTGGGAGATGCAATTGGATGGTTTAAGGAGAAATGCTTACACATTCACTGTCTGGATTGCTGTGGCTTGTTTTGAAACCAAAGTAGCAAAATATATGTCTCCGTTACTTTTGCAGAACTACTGGCCAAATATGTTCAACTGGGCTCTCTACAACCGAGACCAGAGAAAATTCCCCCATTTCCTTCCACCAGACAGGAGCAGCGGCCCCACGGCCGTGTTGGACGTGCCGTACTCGCTCTGTCACCTTCCTGGCTGGCTGTTCCCATATTCAGCACTGCATGGTGAAGGGTTCACGAAGGCTGGGGAGTCATGGTTCACTTGGTTGAAGCCATCTGATAAATAGAGATTGCTAGAAAAGACAGATTGAACATCAGTGTGAGGTCCCAGACTGCTGTAATTTTTCTTGCAGGTTAATGAGAATTAGGAGTAGGGAGGAGAAAGCCAGCCGGAGATAGCTGTGAACCAGGTGGTGATCTGGTGGAGGTGGATGTCCATTTGCTTTCAGTCACCCTTCAGAGCCTTGGTGTCCTGAGACACCAGGACACACCCAGGAAAGGAACCGTGTTCTGAACTTGTCACAGCTTTTTCAAAAGGGACTCTGCAGAGCGTAAGCAAGGGAAGGCGTATGGGATCTTGGAGTTGAGACATTAGCAGTCAGTTAGGTCAAACTCTTGTGCCGTGCAGATTCCTTTCGACAGCATCCCTGAGCCAACTGTCACCTGGGTTCTGCTTGAATTCCTCCAAGTGGCCTGGGACTCACTCCCTTAGCACTTTCACTGTAGGGCCAGCAGCTTTTCAGTGCATTCCATGACAAGAGGAAAGAATTTAAAACAAAAGCTACTCTGCTCTCATGGGGTAGCAGCTCTACTTGATTTTGTTTCTCTTCCTCTAGGAGGATGGACAGACATCATAAACTTTGATTTCCTGTTTCTTGGAAGCAGAAATGATTTCCTTCCTGGGGACCACCCTGACCCTAAGAAGCCCTGAATGACATCCTGTTGGTCAATAAACATGACTGCTCCTTTGCATTTGGTGTATCTCCTATTCAAAGCCCACTTATCTGTAACTCCAGAGCACCGATTCTCACCCAGGACAGTTTTGCCCATTGGGGATGTGTGGCACTTTCTGGAGATGTTTCATTTGCCACAACTAGCGTGGATGCTACTGATAGCCAGTAGGTAGGAGCCAGGGCTTCTACCGCACAGCCTCCCATGCACAAGACAGCCCCCATGATGAAGAATTACTTGGCCCACAATGTCATAGTGCCAGGGTCAGCAAACTCTGTGCTAAAGGCATCGATAGATGCCTTTCAGATGGTAGCAGGCCTAGTTGACCTTTTTTTTGCCCTTGTTTTATTAGTAGCATCTAGGAAAATTGAAAGAGTTGTAATTCCATAAACAGAAGAGTTTCTGCATTTCTGTTGCTCATCAAGGTTCTTACAGTGAAGAGTAGAATTGAGCAGTTCATGATAGGAAGGACTCATTGCAAAAATCAGCGGATGGAGGAGGGGCTGTACTATAATGCATGGCAGTGCTGTCTGCTAGTTTTATTTGTTTTCATTAGTATATGTTGTGATACATAATAAATATATTTGGGATAAGGAATTGGTACATACACATATCACAACTTGATCCTTTTCTTCTGCTGAACGTAAACCATCATGGTCCTAATGAAATGGTGGATACCTTCAAATCATAAATAGGAGCATATTTTTGAAAAGGCTCTCAGGATTTTTAAGACACTTCCAACTCATTACTAATAAAGCAAGAATGTGTATGTTACCTCCAATTAAATGAGAAGACCAAGCCTTATAGAATCAGAGTTTTAAAGGCTTTGTAGTTTGGATAGTTTATCCATGCAGTTACAGAAAAGCATCCTGTTTTACATAATTGACCCGAGTTCTAAACCTGGTGTCTTGTTTATTGTTTAGTAGGGATTTTATTCCGTTGGTAGTGTTTGTATAACAGGGAGACCAAAGCAAACAGTTTTGAAAGAGCATGAGAGGTATTTTCCCCTTTGTCTCCAGAGACAATAGTAATGTCTGCTAGTGATGGACATTTTGATGCATAATCATGATTTGATAGACATAAGTGTTGAATAATTTCCCATACACCCTTTCGGGGGTGGGACCCATGCTGAGAGAGGATGCAGAAGAGCTTGTCAGTCGAGGCAGGAGCTAATTAGATGAGCCCCAGTAACTCTCTGGACTGATTCCAGAAGCACACGCCCTGTCGCATTTGCCTGGGACATCATCTCAGGTCCCTGTCACCCATCCCTTTGACTCAAACCAGTCTAGAAACTTGATTTCTGAGGATTTCTGAGCTGCACACTCGCTGCCAGGGATTGGAGTGGAAACAGGAAGTGTGCATTCTTTAGGGGCACAAATGTCAAGGTCAGTGAAGGAGTCTTGGACACACAGTGAATCATAAATCGTAACTCGGTGAAATAAGACAGGCAGGATGAACTTGGTGGTACCTAAGACTGGGATTGAGAATTGTCCCTCTGGGTCAATTTTGCCTTTTTCTTTTCTGGTGAGCATAGTTCTTGAATAACTGTTTTCACTTTTAAATGAAAATGGGAAAACTAAAAGAAAAAGAAAGGAAAAGGAGCTGTTATTGGTGGTGGTGACAGCGGGTCACTTAGAACTCCAAGGTGTTCCAGAGCATAGGGTGGGGAGCTCTTTCCATCATGTGATCCCCCCGTGGTAAAAACCACCCACCAGGTCCTGGTGGTGACCTCCCTGGCAGGCACACCTCTGTGGTGTGACTGTGTTCCTGCCACCCAGGGCCCAGCACCGAGGTACCCAGCTTATTCATGGCTCAAGTTACCCGGGTGCCCCGAACTCTGCCCTCTGGAGACCTGTTTTGAACCAGCCACTCTTACGCCTCCCAGGCCTCGTGTGGAACAGGGCGGTTTTCTCTGTGATGGGCGAATTAGTTACCAGAAACGATTTTCCAGCAGACATTTGGATACTAATTATGAGTGGATCCTTGGGACCCTGAAAGGCAAATGCATTGATGTTTGTTGTTGGTGATTAAAATGAAAAACAATGAAACAAGAAAGAAATCTCTTTTCCTAATAGACAGCAATGCACATTAAGGTCAGGATGTTTTGTCTGAGTTGACTGTGATCGACCTGTAGTGTAGGCAGAGGGGTTAGAGAAGTGGTTAATTAATTTGCGACTGTACTTCGATTGAGACGAGGCTATCTCAACACAAAGCAGAAAGCCGGCGTTGATTAAACGCAAGGCGACATTCGGGGTGATGTTCCCAGACCGTCTCCATTTGATTCGTTTCACTTCATACTGTATCCCAGGTTTGTGAGACTTTTCTAGCAAGTTCCACCCAGGAGGAATTATTTTCAATTAAATGGATCATGACCACTGCCGAAACCGCCATGAAAGGCACCTGGAGTGTGGGCCGTGTGGGGAACAGAGCTGCCCGGCTCACAAAGGACAGCCTGGAGTCAGCTGTGCTAATGCTGGCTTTGGGTATCATTTCATTCTTTCCGGTCAGCTGTTACATTCACGGAGTCTAGAGAGAAAGGTGGGTAGATATTTCATGGAGCTGCGTGATGCAAGAGGGTGGATGTCACAGGCTGTCAGTGTGACGAGACAGAACCTGGGTCACTGGATGAAATTATAATATGTTGTGAGGGTGTTAATAAAGAAAAAGAATAGGAAGGAGATCAAATATTAGTGGAGAAAGTAGAAAATTAGAAAAGAGGCTGGGCGTGGTGGTGGACACCTGTAATCCCAGCACTCGGGAGGCTGAGGCAGGAGGATCGCTGTGAGTTCAGGTGTCAGCCAGAACTACATAGGGAGACCCTCTGAAAAAAAAAAGAAAGAAAAGCCGGGCATGGTGGCGCACACCTGTAACCCCAGCACTTGGGAGGCTGAGGCAGGAGGATCACTGTGAGTTCGAGACCAGCCTGGGCTACATAGTGAGTTCCAGGTCAGTCTCAACTACATAGTGAGACCCTGTCTCAACCCCCCCCCGCCACAAAAAAAAGAAAATTAGAAAACAAGGACAGGAAGTTACATACTAATTTCATATGGGTGTCTGAATGGACTGGCTTTAGCAGCGCTTGAGGCAAAGTCCCCAAGCATATAGTCTAGAATACTCCTGAATGAATAAGTAAACAGAGACACTCATAAGTGCTTTTTGGGGATGACTTTTTTTTTCAAATAGGTGTTTTCTCCCTCAAAGTAATTTGTAATTTCTTATGTTAGTTGATATAAAGTAGCCTCATAAAGAATCCGTGTCTCTGTTGCATTGCAGTCCTGATGCTCTGGAAGCTAAACCTGTCTGGCTTTACTTAGGGCAGAGGGCAGGGAGCCTTCAGTTCTAGGTGCGGACTGTACCCCAGTCAGTCCAGGACCCTTCTCTGCAAGGATTTAACCAGACTCAGCCTGGTGCACAGACTGTGTTGTTCCACGGTGGATCAGGTTGTGGCCAGGAAAGTGCAGATGTTTATAAGGAGCCATGGTGTGTTGAAGTCTGAATTTTTTCTTTAATTGCACTTAGGGCTGAATTTCCTAATACTTTCTCTTGCTTCCAAGGTAGACATGCAAGACAATACTAATAGAGAGTTTAGTGGAATTATTGACTCTCATTTCTCTCTGCATGTTCTCCAGTTTGGTTTTCTTGATAATTTGATTTTTTTATCGTGCAGCAATTCAGTGACCTCAGTTCTCCCTCTCAGGAATAGGAGAGGAAAGCACTATGTGTTTAACAAGCTTTAGCTCCTCCAGTCTGGCCTAGTTCTGCAAAGGCAAGCTTCTGGGCACCACCTGCTCACCTGTCAGAAGTTCAGAAACTCAGGGACCCCTCACACCCCCGAATCAGAACCTCCATAGGCACAGGGTCGAGTGGGAGGAGCTGCGAGTGCCTGGCAGGCTCCCGGGTAAACCTGCTCTCGGGGGAAGGACAGACCCGGAGCGCCAGTTCCTGATGGGAGCGTGAACAGTGCTTGGCCGAGAATGAAGCACCCGGGGCCTTTGCGAGGCACTAAAGATAATCAGGCTTCATGAAAATGACCCAAACCCAAGAGAAACTGTAAAACTGAAGCATCCATTTCATGGAATTTGCTGCTTCTGGAGTTGAGGAAGAAATGGCCCTTAGGAGAATTTCGTTATAGATTGTTTGAAAAGTCAAACAACGAAGTTCAATTAATAAAAAGCAGCAATTAATAAAAAGGAAGAAGGTAAAACTTAGTTTTAAACGAGACTTACTCAAAGCCCTCACTGTTTTTCCCTTGTACCTTCACGTTTCTTATAAAACAATTCCAAAGTGAGAAATCAGGGAACAAAATACACAGCATGCATCAATTAGGGCCTTTTCTCCCTGTCTTGTGTAGCTGTTTATTTAATGCGCAAAATTTTATATAACATTGGTTTAAAAAAATGCAAAACTTCTTGCAACTTATTCTGTTTAACCAGTGAAGTTGTTAAAGCAAATGGAGGTACTGCAAAAATTTCCAAAACTTTCCACCCTAACTTCTGGAACCACACTCTCCACGCTGCTAATTAATGTAAAGCCAGTTTCATATATTGAGATGTTTAATCAATTGGCAGGTTGCTGTCAATAAACACATGTCTTAAGTGGTTTGTAATGGACAGGCTAAGGAAGTGCCCTGTGTGAGGGTCAGGGCCACTGGGAGAAATCTCTCTCACTCCCCGCCAGCGTGCCATCCGCAGCCAGCCTGGGATTCGTTACCTCTGCGTGCGGTATCCAGGGAATTTCGTTTCCTACCAGCAGCCAGTTAAGCAACACGCGGGAAAGAGTGGTTACTAGGGGATCGGTGTACTAGAGAGGGCAATGCTGTCCAAGTTTCTTCCTACTAAACCTGTGTGTGGGGCTCTAACCCATTCTACCTCGCTTAGCTTTCCCAGCAGCCCTGTGAGAAGGATCAGTTTCTCCAAACCTCAGATCCTTCCTGTTACAAATACTTTGGTTATGCCGCTACAGTCCTGAAATAGCTCATATAAGTAATATGACTTACCAGGAGATGTTTAAAAGTCGCATGAATTCCCCAGCTATAACGCAATGGAGAAATGAAAGGAATTGAGTTTATTATGTAGTACATTCGATATATAAATGCTGGTGCTGGCTGTCCTTGAGGGTGGGAAGTAAAAGGCATTTGTGTCTGTGCATAAAAGTTCCACGAACTTGGTGGCTCTCACGGCAGGCTCACAGAGACACGATGTGCCGCTACTCAAAGTCTGTAGAAGGCCACACTGTCAATGATACAGTTGTAGAAAATAGCAAACGATTCTTAGAAAAGCTCCAAAAACAAAGTTCAGGCCCACCTTGATTTGTACAAAAAACACACTGTGGAATGTCTCACTTACACTCATAGTGGGCGGAAAATGCTTCGTGGCCACGTGTAAACCTGGCTTGGGTTCTAGACCCCTGGGCTGCTAGACAGGGCTTCCGCCTCCCTGGCCATCCAGTGAGACACCAGGGAGCCGTTCAGCCGGGGGACCACCCTTGGTGCCTCAGGGGTGGCTTGCTTTTAAAGACACCTGGCCTGTGTCCAGGAGTGCACAGAGCAGACTTCACCCTGCCCAGGAGGCCGATCACACACAGCCCAGCAGCGTGGCGGAAAGCCTGCGCAGGAGCACTGCCACCCCAGGAGATAAGTGTGCTCGCGTTTCCATCCCTACGTTTTCCGATGCAGCACCTTATGCTTCCGTGGCTGCCCCAAAGCACAAAAGCAAGAAGTTGCAGAGTCGGGGAGCAGACTGTGGCCTGCGTCTAACCTCAGTTGCACCCTTCCTGTGCATCAAGACAGGCCTGGGCAGGCTGCATCTCGGGTGGACTGGCATGGGGTGCACACTTGCCCTGGCCTTCCGCCGTGCCCAGGAGCTTTGCTTGTTACCCAACTTTCCCAGCTCCGCAGTACTGCTCTGGCTCCTCCCTTTCCACAGTCACGACGGTTAATCTGAGCCCCTTCCCCAAGTCACCGGCCTCGGAGGAGAAGGCCTGGGTTCCAAACTCGGACCTGAGTGCCTTCAAAGCCCAAGCTCTTGCCTGGTTCCATGGAGCAGGAGAGAGTTGTGTACACCACGTGCATTCCACCCATGCACCCCCCTCTGACTTCTTCCGCTTTCTTCCTCTTACCTAATAGGCAGGGTAGCCACATAGTTCACTGGACAAGTGAGGTCACTCGAGAATGCTAGCGGACACTGATATACCAGGATGTCGTCGTGAGGCCCTCAGGACCACTGGGGGACTTTGAAGAAGAGCGCTCGGTGAGCCGTTTGCAGTCGACGCTCCTACACAGAGCCGGAAAAGAGCCGCGTGCTCGCAGAACACACTGTGGACCCTGCTGTCAAGGGAACACTGTTGAGGTTTGCTCTAGAATGTTCCCCAAAACTCTCCTGAGCTCGGCGGCATGGTTCTGGAGGGTGATTAGATCTGGGGGCCTTGTACTCATCAATGGTTTCACCCTGGGTGGGTTCAGCTGTCGAGGGTGCTGTTGGGACCCTGGGCGGTGTGACGTGGAAGGATGCATCTCCCTGCGCTGGGCCCCTCCCTTCTCTCTCCTTTCTGGTCGCCATGAGGTGAGCAGCTTGCCTCCTCCGAGGCCCTTCCACCCCTTCCCCCACCTTGGAGCCATTCAAACATGGGCTGAGTCCTCTGAACAGGAGCCAGAATACCCCTCTCTACCTTTAAGTTGGGGGTATGGAGTATTTTGTCCTAGCAACAAGGAAGTGACAGAGAGAGCCTCTCTTGGCTACCATCTTGAAGAAATCTGCAACTTTGCCCTTTGGGGATGTTTTCCACTCTTTTCATGAGGCCGGGACAGGTGAGCCCTGAATATTTCTCTGTGGTCATAGAGTAAGTGGGGGAGCTGGGGGATGCGGGTCTCCAGGAGCACAGGCAAGAGCCTGCTTCCTATACCCCAGCCTGGTCTACTCCCTTTTAGGAGCAGGACCGCAGAAGCCTTCTTTCAGCTGACATGTAAAGCCTGTACTGAAAAAGTGTAAGTGACTAATTCCACCTGAATTTCCCCAAGCCTCTGCGCTTGTCTTTGTTTATTGTATTAATAAATACTGTGCAGCTAATGTTCCCATCTGGCGAGGAAGAGGAAAGTGCGTGAAAATGAAGTTGCGGTTACATCAGTCCAATACTAATGAAGGTGATACCCACTTGGCATGGTAGAAAGGTGGGTCTTTATTTTAGAGTTCTTAATTAAGAACCGCCAAGTGACTAATATTAATTAGGAAGCCAGCTGTATCCTCCAGTTTCATGGTATATTTCTTCTTGGGAACCTGTGAAAGGAGTGAGTCTGAGGCTCTTTTAATCAATCAGCCCTCGAGCAATTATCCGTTAAGTATACTTTGTGTGTGGGGGACCAGGCTGTGAGGACAGAGATTTATAAGATGCTGTCTCTGCCTGCAGGACCTGCACCTAATTGAGGAGTGAGTACAAAGGGAAGCAGTATTTCTGACAGTGAATCAGAGCATCCTAAGAAGCGTGGCGTGGGGAGGGAGATTTTCAGACATCACAGGTGCCCTCCCTGACTCCCCCAGGTTGCAGAGCAAGCCTCAGCGGAAGTGATAGGCTGTGTCCTTGGGAACGTTGGAGCACACCTGGCAAATTGGAAAGTTGGAGGGCTTGAGGATCCTGAGCAGAAATACTTTAGTTGACTGGAACTGGATCTAAGGAAGAAGGATAAGAGTTCAAGTTGGAGAGGAACAATGGGCAGCTCCGAGAGGTAGAAGGGCATCATCCTGGGATATGCACTTCCTCTCTGGAGTGCTGGGTCTCTCTGTCCACTGTTACTGATTCTGCTATCACTGCTGGTATTTGCGCACGCGCACACACACACACACACACACACACACACCCCTAGGCCTCCTGCAGAGATTTAATACCCTGAGCTGGGGACTTAATGCACTATACATACCTGGCATGATCATTCATGATCATGTTAATAAAATTGTGCCTAGAACAAGGAGCTTCCTAGGAGGCACCTCTAAACCCCGTCCACTTTGCTGCATTCTAAGTCTCTTTTGGCAGTGATACGTTAATTTCCCCCAAATTCTCCTTTTCTGAGTCGCTAGCAACTGAAGAAGGATCACATGAAGATTAAGTTGTAATGTCCTCTTTTTAAATTTTACTTTCCTTCACAGAGAGCTTCAATGATCACAGGGTTGTTTTTTTGTTTTTTTGTTTTTGTTTGTTTTGTTTTTCCCCCCAAACTTGACTTGTAATTTAATGTGCAGTTCTCTGAATTTTATACCTAGACATTCAGTTTGTTGAATTGTATCTGTGAATCGCAGTGTGTTAAACCACCTGGCCCGATGCCCCAGATCTTTTTCTGCAAGGCTCAAATCCAGGAACCTGTGATTCTTCAAGCACCTTTACAGCCATGTTTCATTAGTGTTTTCTTTTAAATCTTCCAAAAAGCACTGGTGTTGACCAGTTGTAAGACTTGGAGCTCAGGGCCTGGAAACTTACAAAGCCTTAATCTATAGGTTTAAACTCAGGGAGCTGAGTCTGATGTACTTTTCTCTCTCAGGCTCTGCCACTGAACTTTTTTCTACATCTGTTCTCACCAGTGCTAGTTTTTCTTGAGGTAGCACAGGCAAGGGTGTATGTATTTGTGGATAAGCCCATTCTAGCCCTAGTTTATAGCCTTTTGCTGTTGAAATTAAATCAGACATCAGAGCAATCTTTTTTCCAAATTTTTAAGCATTTTCCATAATTACCTACTTGCTGCTTTAGATACAATCATCAGTTGTTACCTTGCAATGCTGTCCCAATGCCATGGTTCTGAAATCCCTGAATACTGTTGCAGACAGTCACATTTCAAAAGGAAAAAACTTGGAAATAGTAGGTCTATGCTTTGCACTTTATAGCATGGAGAATTTTACTAACCTATGTCATCATCACTAGTAGAATTAAATCTCTTTGACAGTGAATGTGAATGATTTCTGTACAAATAAAAAGCAAAATAAAGAGAACGTAAGCACAATAACACTGTTCTCCAGAGGAGGGAATTTTCCCATCCAAACAGTACCTGTATTTTTATATTATAATCCTTTTCCTTAAGTCAGTTCATGTCCCAAAATGTACTTTTCCAAGAAACTATAGCTGTATTCTAAATTCTGAGCTGGTGTCACTGGCCTTCGAAACAATACTTTCGTGATGATTACAGTTACGGCCAGCATCTGCACACGTGCGATCTCACAGAATGTCTTTGGGATACTCTGCAGGGCAGTGCCGTATGCCAGGACTGCGGCAGCGTGCGGGAAACAGCCATGGGTCCCTAGTTTTAAATTCAAAAAGAATCTCAGGTTGAATTGTATCCCTTAGCTTTGTTTATGCCAGATATTTCAGCCTCACAACTACACGTTTGGGGCCTGTCTTGGTCTCTTTTCTGTTGCTGATAACACAGTACCTCAGACTGGGTACGTTCTAAAGAAAAGAGGTTTATTTTGACTCAGAGTTCCGGTCCAACATTGAGGGGTTGAATCTGGTGATTGGCCCTCTTGCTTGCTGAGCTCTGAAACAGTACAAAGAATCTCAGGGTGAGAGATCTCATCAAATTGGCTTTTGTAGCAGACCCCCTTTCTGCATAAGCCACTAATCCATTAATCGCACAAATGGATTTAACCATTCGCAAGGGCAGAGTCCTAATCACCTCTCACAGGTCCCGCCTGGTCCCACCTCTTAATATTTTAAAATGGGGATTAAATCTCAGCCTGAGTTTTGGAGGGAACAAAGCATATTCAAACCCTAAGCTGTGCAGATAATTCTCTGTTGCTGGAGATTGCCCTGTGCATTGTCACATGTGTAGCAGCACCCCTGGCTCCATTCACACCCCTAGGGGTGACAACTCCATAAAACATCACTCCAGACATTGCCAGATATCTGCTGGCAGGGGCAGAATTGTCCCGGTTCAGAACCACTGTGTTACACATGGGTCACTGTGTTGTTTTTACTCTTATTTTAATTACTGATCCTCAGTGGTTACTTGGTCAGGAATGCGTATTTAAAATATACAAACTAGTTTTTGAAAGCATATTTTAGCATTCTTTTAAGTAGGCTTGTTACTCCCCTTTACCTAACACAAAAGCGGCTCTGGTCTGTCCTCACCTCTGCTCGGGCCCTCCTCACCCCTCAGAGTGTTAGTTTGCACCTACTGACACCTGTTCCCGAAGGAGTCTCACTGCTAAATGGAAGACTGGATTCTCGCGATCCTTCCCATATTTTCCGGCTCATGTGCAGGTGTGACTCCTGCCAGGAAAACCCAATGAAAAGTTGTCTCAGGTATTATCCACCCTTTACTCGCAGAGGCCTGCATTTCATGTCATACTACTTGCTTTCCACATATTATGTCTTGTAATTGTCGCAAAAGTCCAATGATGTTAGTTGATATTGCTTAGCTCTCTTTTTTTTCAATCTGAAAAACTAAAGCTAAGTTAAATAACTTGCCTAAAGCCACACTGCTACAGCTGCTGCTCTGTTAAAACAATTTGGAAGCAATCTGTCCTCAAACGGATAAATGTTAAACCTGTCAGTATGCTCTGATTATTACTGTTTTATTTTTAAAGTACATAGAGTGAAAACTTGAAAGATATTTACCAAAATACTACTAGAAGTTATGTTTAAGTGGGTTACTTCTGGCAGTTTTCTTTTGACCCTTTTCTGGGTCATAATAAATTTTTATTGCTTTTTTTTTTTTGGTAATGAAATGTACAAGTTCAAAGTGAAAGAATATGTAGTCAGTGTTACTGTCAAAGTTCCTTTTTTGCTGTAGTTCTAAGGCATGTCTGTATTCTATACATGTACAGATGCATGTGTCTCTAGATGTCTGGGCTCAGCGGTCTTTCAGAGTTGCTTTGCCGTATCTGGGCCAAGGGCTGACTCACCACATCCTGGGAATCATGCAGGACACTCCCTTGCAGTTCCCAATCAGAATGCACACTGATGGAAAATAGGGCAGTTGGGTGATCTGCTACCTCGGTCGTGTTGTTTTCTTTTCTTTTTGTTTTATTTCTTTGCTGTGCTGTGGATCAACCCCAGGACCTTGTACGGGCTAGACAAGCACCCTTGTCTAGCACTGGGCTAGATCTCAGCTCCTGTTTTAACACAGACCCCTCTGGGAGGAGCTGCAGCCTTACCTCCCAAAGTGAAGTGCAAGAAACATACTGGGTGCCTAGACTGGCTCACTCTTAGAGCCTTTGTTTCACATCGCCATCGAGCCTTTCCCTAGTGAAAACTCGGAACTGGAACTCATTTGACAGCACCACGAGGTGGAAGCGTAGCATGCTTTGTAGTGTACTTGCAGGCAGATACATGTGTGCTAGCAGAATGCACCGGGCATTTTTCAACTATGTGAGTATCATCCCAAGTGATACTGTTTTTACTTAAATACCTTTCCATCTATGGCTTTTCGTTCATTTTTAATTTCCTACTATTCCATAATAATTGCATTTTAAGTTTGAAAATTATGGTGAACCTTATGCTCATCAGAAATCCTTTTCAGTCAAATACTAATTAGCACCTAGCATTTAGTCCTCATAGATAGCACTTCACTTGAAATTGAGGGATCAGTGCTTTGCCTACTCAGCACGACCATTTCCCTTAAGTACAGGGATGCTTTCTTTACTTTTTATGTACCTCTTCACAGTAGGTGCACAATGTTATCAGAACTGCCTTCCTTACCCTTATGTTGAACTCTTCTTTTTTTCTGGCCTTGATTCTGTGCCCACCCTCATGCAAGCACCCCAAAATACAGCCCAGTAATTTTCTCCCATAACCCCAAACTCCCATGAAAGGTGACCTGGGGTGAGACTGTTTCTTGAATTCTTAGTGTACATGTGACCTTCACATCCATCAGTAGTCTTCTGCCCTCACCACAAGCACTCTGTCATATCTAGAAAAAGAAATTAATGTTGCTTTTAAAGAGCTATAACATTTTAATAAGTTTCTTCTCAGCTCTTCTCTGATGTGTATCAAGAGGAAATCATAGTAACAGAGACTATGGCATTACAGTGGTGTGCGTGCCTGAATAGATTTCCCCACGAGCTAATTTTCCCCGAGAAGGCGCATTCCCAGCCAGCCATGCCCCAGAAAAGGTACCCAGAGTGGTGAGTCCAGGTCTGCGATGCCTGTAGGTACTGATTTCTTATCCCTAAATTATTCCCTGGCGCTGTGGTAAACAGGATCAAAGCTAATAGTCTAACGAAAAGCGCTTGCTTTAAATGCCCAGTGTCCAGTGGGGTTTGGCTGAATTCTCCCTTCTAGTTAAACCAGCAGAGCCCACTAATGTTGCTGCCAGAAGGCCAGTGCTTGGCCTAAATCCGCGAGGTCTCCATGCCTTTGTGCTGGCCGCTAAATTGTGGTGGTGATGCAGCCTCTGGGGACCCACAGCCCACTGATAAGTAGCTCCAAGAGCACGAAGCAGAGCATATGGAAATTCCACTCTCATGCTTAACATACAACACACAAAATGAATTTTTCATATTGGCTTTTTTAAAAGATGGAAGCATTCCAGCTTTTCCTCACTGGCGTGCCTTTTGGACTTACTGTCCGTTAAAGCAGCCAGGGGGTGGGGGGATGACTGTAATGTAAGCAGCGTGGTGTTTGCAAGGGAGAGCTGTAGGAGAGGCGATGATGATTTTGGAAACATTATTCTGGGTGCTGAGCTGAACAAAGAGTCATTACTGCAGGGAAAAAATCCCCCAAAACACGTTGTTAATGTAC